AAATCCATTTTCTCGATAATTATCGAGCCAATTTGTGAATGCGTCTAGGTGTTGTATCCACAACTAAGTGCATGTTTTAGCTTTGCCACATTTTACTTATAATATTTATCTTTGTAAGAATATCATACCATATGACAAGTGAAACTACAAATTCGTGAGTAGTTATTTCCTTTTCTATAGAATTGCATTCACTGACCAACTGACAATCTGTTGTATTTTCGGCTAAATCCTTTAAAGCATCACATGTATATCTTATTTGGTATTTAACGGCCTTCACCGATGCTACCCTGCATTGCCATCTAGTTTCAGAAAGTGGTTTTAGCGATAAAGATGTTACATGAGCATTTAAAATAGATCTCTGACTTAAGCCGGCAAACAGAGTGTACAACTTTTGTAGCAAACCAAAAAAGATTTTGCTTGGACACAAGACGATGCTGCATCTCCTATGATAAGATTCCAGCTATGATTCCCACGAGGTAAAAAATAAGCAAGTGGATTAATTTGAAGAATAACTTTTTGGACACCACTTTTTTCACCACGTATTGCATTGCTCCAAAAGTTCACTATCTTGGCCTCTGCAGTTTTGCAATGATATACCTAACTGTTCTAATTCTGCGATTATATAATTAGTCAAACTCTCAGCTGTGGTTTTTTCGACTGGTATTTGTATTAAAAAATCTTATAATAATTGAAAGTTGCACAACACGAGAAACGTCGCGAGTACAATCAAGAATAATCGAGTAATATTTATTATTTTTTCAACAATATGAGTCTTCACGTGACTTGCCATTAATTGTATGAGCTCATTTTGAATATTTTTTCCGATATAGTGGTCATTAATCGTCTTATCCTTTACTTTACTAAATCTATAAAGTTGCCGTTTGTCTCACTCGAATCTGAGTCAGATGTTAACTTCTCTCTATGACCCCTGAAGGCCAAATTGGGAGATGCTAAAAAATTTACAATTGCGATCCATCGTTCTAAAATATCTCTCCAACGTTGCCTTTCTTGTTCAATTTGTGACTGGGCCAAGAAGTCAATAGTGGAACAGCTTTTTAAACCATTCTCTAAATTAATCCATTTCAACATACAATATTTGTGCTGTCGAGTAGATTCGTGAGACTTTAGGTAATCACCCAAGTGTTACCAATCACACACTCCTTCACTTGATTCAATCTTTGTATTTTCTAGCCCGAATATTCGACACGAAAAGCAGTAAACGGCAGCCTTTGTTTGTGAATAAATCATCCAGCGCCTCAAGCTTTTCACCGGTAACTAATATCTTATTATAATGATATTCACTAAATCACCGTCCATTATCATTTACGGGAAATAAATCAACTTTAACCCGGATTGGACCTTTTAATACAATCTCAGTTTGGTCTACATCAGTAATTAATATAGGCCACAAACCGGGGTCATTTTGAGTATTCAGATTTTCCATGGATGTAGACATAGACTCGAGCTCAGATTCGTATTCTTAACTGAATAGCGTTGACGGCGGCACCGGTGACCTAAGAGACAATGATGTAGTTAATTCATCATCATCCTCGATGTTTTTATTTAATATCGGCGACAGCACCCATGATGATGTGGAAGGAATGTTTTCAGCTGGATTAGGATTAGAGTCACTTTCAGTTAATAAATGTTTTGTAGAGGTTTCTTGATCATCTCTTTTTATCTTTATATATAAAAATTACGTGTCACATTGTTTATCCGCGATGAACTCCTATACTACTAAACTGATTGCAATGAAATTTTGCACACTGTGTGCAGTTTGGTCCAACTTAAGAGATAGGATAGTTTTTATCCCTATAAGTGAACCTCAATTTTTTTTTTGCTAATTTCTGGAGTACTTTTTTTTTGGGTAAGTAAATGGTCGTTCGGAAAGGGCAGAACAACGTCTGCCTGGCCAGCTAGTATATTTATATAAATATCCACGTAGATTTTCTTTTGACAAGTCGTTTCTTTTTTGAACTACCTGACTCAAATTTTCTACCGGCATCACGATCACGCGAACTCATTTCGTAAATCTTGTTTTGTTTCGCACAAACAGACAGAAATAATTTTTAAGTATCACACAGTTTTTTTTTTACACTTTTCCAGCTCACTCAATACTTTAAATACTTCAAATACTTTAAAAACGTAATCTATACATATAATAAAACTGTAAATAGCAGATGTCTGTACATTTTATATTTTTGTAATAAAAGTGATTGAGGGGTACTAAAAATAAGTAATTAAATACATTTCTACCATTTTCAGAATTTTCTGTCTGTCTGTCTGTTTGTTTGTTAACGTATCACGTTTAAAGTACTAATTTATATCATAAGAATTGTTAAGGAAATTCTAAAGTGTACCTTCGGGTTACATTTAGTCTTTATTTCATTAAAATCGGTTCATTCCATTAAAAGTTATGATAAATATTCTGAAGTATGGGTAGGGAATTTGCTCAACGGTGGCTTTGTTTGTGTCATCAAGTTGATGTTAGCAGCGCCATCTCTCTTTAATTAAATATATACATATAATAAAAATGATGATAACATGTTGTGTCTCTTTCTGTACATTGTATATATATTTTGGTGACTAAAATCATTATGGGGAACTAAAAATAATTAAATAAGTACATTTTTATAATTTTTAGAATTGTCTGTCTGTCTGTTTGTCTGTTTTTATATGAATGCATCACGTCTAAAGTAAACATTTTTTTTTCAAAGAAATCGTTAAGAAAATCATAAAGCGTATCTTCAAGTTACATTTAATCTTTGCTTTATTAAAATTGGTTAATTCTATCGAAAGCAATGATTATTATTTTAAAATGTAGGTTCGAATTTGTTCAATGGCGCCATAAAAATCTCAGAAATAGTAATAAAAAGATTTGTGTGTAAAAAAAACGTTCCATAATAATTAATATATTTATACTTAAAACATAAAAAGAGATTTAAAAAAGGATGTTTTCTCACACAAAGGACGTAATAGATGGAGTTGTACAAATTACAAACTTTTCTGATTTGCTGTGTTGAGATTTTTCGCCGATGAATCGTATTGAGACTTACTGAAGAAATTTGTATCTATCGAAACCATACAACGGAACCCGAACAAAAATAACAAAATTGCAACGAAGTGTCGTGATATTGTATTTATAATATACGCAAAATCACTACTGCCATTTTAGCGCTTTGGGAACTAGATTTAGCGCTTTTTTTGAATGTATAGCGGCATTTCGAAATTTTAGCACCTAGCACTTAATCCAGCGCTTTTTGGTGTATTTAGCACACATTTCAAAATTGTAGCGACTAGCGGGTTATTAACTCTTTTATAGCAGCACTGTTAGTCCACATTACCGATAATAATAATAATGACCTTTATTATTTTTTTCCACAAATAGTACATTGCAGTTTATCTTTTTCAAACATATTTTTCCACAAAACAAAGAGCATGGGAGGCGAGTCCAAACTAGGATACCCTCTGCTATGGATCTCCCGGCTTCCCCTTTAGGATGATCAACTTGATTTTTTTTATCGACGACTATAAGCGGGGAAATCCCCTTCATTAAAGTTTTCGTTCATGGTTTTGGCAACGCATTTATTTTGCTTTATTCAGTTTTAGTCAGTTGTTTAGAGCACAGCTAAGTTAAAAGTTACTTAGAGTAGTACTAACTACTGTTGACAGCAATTGCCATAATTATAAGTCGATGTCCTGCGAAGTATTGATACATCAAAAAATATTGCCAGAAAAAAACTTAATGTTGTTTTCTTTATTATGATTATATTTTCTTGAATTATAAATTATAATAAAAAACACAAACTTTGTAGTTCATTTAGCGCGAAATCTAGGGCATTTTTAAAGCGCTGTTTTCATGAAATCTAGCGCTTTTTGTGTTGTCCTAGCGCTGAATGAGTTTTTTTGATCTGGCAGCACTGCCAAAAAACCCTCTATTAAGAAGTAACTTTCCTTTCAGTTTTAAGCGCGTTCAGTTCCCAGTTACAGTCAGCGTGTGTTATGCGATGACCGTTAATAAAGCGCAAGGTCAAAATTTACGCGTTGTAAGAGTGGACCTCAGTACTGACTGTTTTGCACATGGCCAACTCTATGTTGCTTCCCGCGTTAGTAGCCCCCGTAACCTTTTTGTATACACCCCGTCTAAGGCCGGGCACATACATACGTAATTCCGTTTCGGGATTCCGTTTCGATATTCCGATTCGGAATACCGAACGCAGCAAGTCCATATAAAATCTATGACCCGCCACACACGTACGGTCGTTTTCCGTTCGAAAATTTGCGAGCAAAACGGGATTCCGTATGTGTGTGGCCGACCCGTTCGGAATTCCGAAACGGAATCTCGAAACGGAATTCCGTATGTATATGGCGGGCCTAAGTCTACTTCTAACGTCGTTTACACCGAAGCTCTATCATAAACTACTTAGAACTTTGATGATAATGATTTATTTGTTACCACTTATTGATACAGTAATGATATAAATCGTTTAATATTCTCTTACCTAAACGACAAATTCTTTATGTAAAATCTATATACGCGAGCTACGCCGCGGGCACAGCTAGTATTCAATAAAATTTAAAGATACGTACGGTACAGAAACGATTTTGTAACTATTTTGCTTGTATAGGGTGAACTCATCCAATTTCGTGATAAAACAAAATATGTAATAAAACTTCGATATTTTAGTAAAATCTTCTTTTTTATTTTAATTAGGAACATTAATCAGTCTTTCATTTACAATAATTAGGATAGTAAACTTATTTAGGACTACTATTTTTAGACTTATAGCTTGTTATAGAAACCTCGTTGACTTTAACAATTTCGTGATGATCACTTTAAGTCCGTGATACATACTTAGTTAATTACGTCATCACGGAGTTGCATGAGCTTTTTACTTTAGAAAAATATTTCCTGATTTTTGTCAGATTAATTGATAAATGTGTAACACTAGTAATATCAATTTAAAAGTCCCAACCCAACTATGTAGCTAGATTTAAAGCTAGTGATCATCATCATCACTATCTATCACACTGCAAGCGTCACACATGAAGATTTGTTGTTGGCTTCCTTTTAGTATAATATCTTGACTTTGGCAATGCACGTGATAGGGTAACGTGCAATAAGAACAAGTTATCCATTCAGCTCCGTTTTCTGAGGACACATCGTTGGAGTACAGTCCATCACACGTGTGACATGTCCAATCGTCGTCTTCTGGCAGTGATAGTTTGCGCTTCTTTTGAGTAACTGATTTACCTTTTCCCTTGACTGTTGTTCTTGTAGGTTTTTGCTTTGGCTGTTGTGGTGTGTGGTTAGTTTGCAGTTTGGAAGTTGACGGCTGAACAGGTGTTAAACATATAGCTTTAGGAACAGTCCTTTTAGAACCCTGCTTCTTCGCATTAGGTATCCATTTAGGTAGTATCAAAATATCGTGAATTTCAATTTTCTTTGGTTTAGGAGGCGAAGAATTTGCTACGTTTGAGTCTGCCTTCGTAACGCATGAGCCCATATTGCATATGGTGGTAAATTCTTGTTCTCGTTCTTGTGATGTCGAATCATTGAGGGGGTCGCTGTTAGTTGTTTCGATTTTGGTGTTAGGGATCGAATCTTCAAGGTCTTCTTCGATCAGAATTTTTTGTATTGGCTCCGTGGGAAAAGGTTTGTCTGTAAGTCGGCTGGGCGCGATTGCTTCTGGACGCACTGTAGTTCTGTTTAATGGATAAATACCTGTCTTTTCAAACCCTGCTTTTATGTTTGATGGTGTGAAACTTCTTTCATACGCTGGAGTCAAAAATTTATGAAAGTCAAAACGTGTCGGCACTGAACTTGGATGTTGCGTTTTGTGCTTTTGTAATTCAGCACGCCAAGCTGCTTTTAGCGGCCGAAAGACCCCGACGTCAAGTGGCTGCAAGATGTGACTTGTGTGTGCTGGCATTGTGAATAATATAATATTGTTAGATTGAGCATAAGCTAAAACATTCGGGGAAACGTGGCTGGCATGTGAGTCCATTATGAGCAAAACTGGCCTTGCTGGAGGAATGTTTTTGGAGAAAAACTCCAGCCATTCCAAAAACAGATCTGCATTGATCCAACCTTTTGGAGAAAGTCGTGTCAAGCTATTTGGAAGAGAACCAGAACTTAGTTGTGGTATATTTCGTATCCCTTTGAAAATCGTCATCGGTGGAAGAAAACATCCAGAAGCATTGATGGCAGCTAGTACTGTAGTGGTGGTACCTTTTTCAGCGTATGTACGGTTATAAACATACTGTTTGCCAATCTTTGATACTATTTTGAAAGGTTTGTTTACGAACATTAAGCCTGTCTCGTCGCAATTCCATATTCTATCCGGGGATTGTAACAAATCGTGCTCTATCAGGGTCTTCTCTAACTTTTCATAAAAGTCAGCAAGGATAACAGGATTTGAACAACTAGCTCGGCCAGCAGACAAATTCTCCGGTATTCGCAAAGATAAGCCATAACGTTGTTTAAAACTGACCCACCAGTTCCAACCAGCAAATCCTTTGTCTGAGCTAAAGCAATGCTTAGGATTATTTGCCTCTGCCAATGAAAAGGCAATTTTTCGAATTTGATTCACTGTGAGGCCAAACCCGAGCTCCTGCATTTCAATTATATAAGCAACTAGTTTTTGCTCTATTTCAACCGTTAGTGAAAACGGTCTTCCAATTTTAGACATAATAAATTGAGTTTTGATTCCTTTATCTTTTTCTTCTTTCGCACGAAGAACATTATCTTTGAGAGTAGTCCATGGAATACCGAATTCTTTAGATGCGCGGTAAACAGTCATATTTTTTTCTAATACATTCTCGACTGCGGTTCGCAGGGTCGCTTCATTGTATTTTCTATTTTTTTTATTATCTTGTTCCTCCATTATATCTGTAAAAATTCATTGAAAGTCAGGAAACAATATATAATTCAAGTCATTTAATTCCGTGATAAAAATTCTGAAAGTTTTTTCTATAGGTATTACATTTTTTTTATTTGGTTTTACTTGACGTAATTGTTCACATTAACTTAATAAATCACGAAAAACAATAGTTTCTAACCCCGTTTTTTACGTACATCACATTTGCCTACGTTAAATCCGTGACACAACTCCATTTCAAAACTTGAAAATTCGTTAATTTTATGGGTTAACAAAATAAGAAATTATACCAAAACCACTCACCCTTTGCTAACACCAAGCCGCAAATCACAATCTGCAATGGTCTGACTCTAAGCTATGTAAGTTTTGTTGCAATCTATGCACATTTAGTATTTATTTTTAATTATTTACCTGAACACAAATGTTCTATGGCCACGCAGCGCACAAAACTAAGCGCGGGCGGACAAATCTGTCATTTGTTACTATCTCTCTCACACGATTCGAACCAAACTTTTCAGAGAAAAATAAGACTTATTACTCTAACCTAAGGTTCACATTAAAGATGTGTATTTGTCTCACTTAACTAAGTGCAAGCTTTGAAACAGACTATCACGAAATTAGCATTATCACTTATTTGCGTGAGTTTACCCTACTACAAGCAAAATAATACCAAGGTGACAGGAGTTGACGAATGAAATGAAACACGGGAAATCCCCGAGCGATAGAGGAGCAGAACATTATGTTCCGAATACCGAGCTGACCCGAGTGCTATGCGATTAAATAACCGATCTTCAAGTGTTTTGAGGCGCGATATTCAAGTACTATCTACATAATGAATTTTTCAATTATGTTTTGAATGAATGAATTAGTTAACTTTATTTTAATTTACCGTTATGTTATAACCTTAATGAGTAAAGGATCAAACACAAAAGCTTTAAATAAAAAAACAGTAAAAAAATCTATATTTTTAAAAATTTGCTTGGGTTGCTGCGCGAGGCTCCTGCAAGAGCGAGGCCCCGGGCGATTGCCATGTTCGCCACCCCCTAAGACTGCCGCTGATTGCAGGTATGTTTGCATATGTTCGTTAATATACCCTGATGATGCCGTGAGGCGAAACCGATAGGTTTTTATAATTAGTATATTAATAATTTAAAATTAATATTGTAAAACTAAGTGTTTATCTAAATCACAAAAATTCAGAAGAATCCTTCACGCGCAAAAGTCCCTTAACAGTGGCGTCACAATCTACGCGAATTAAAAAATATTTTAGATCGCGTCTTTCCAGGGGGCTACTTTCGCGAGACCGATTATAAATAGTTTAAACTTGAGACTAATTGTGAACTACTTTTTATAAGACGGGCAATATTTAATTTCGGTACATCATACAGATATCCTAAGCTTTATTGTTCGTTTTATGGCATATTATAGAAACAACAAAGAGCCGTGAGCCGGGAAATATTACCGCAGAGAAAATAAATAATAAGTGAAGCAAGTCACAGTTGGAAGTGGCCAATAACAGCGGACACCCAAGTCGAAGGGGGACGTGATTTATGTGCAAGATATTTGTTAGCTCATGCCATAAACCCCACTGCTTTGGCTATATCACTAGCATTATATTTATCCTAATTCGACAATTATACTTCGGAAAACAAAAATCTTTCCAAATATTGGTCAAATTATATGACGTCATAACAGAAAACACTGTATGCGAATTAGCTTAGTTATTTTGTGTCGTTAATTGCCTTAAATAATTATCAAATAACGAAACAAAACACATCACTATGAGAATGGCATACGCAGTATGAATACGAAGGAGCGCGATCGATCGAATCAAACACGAAATATCACAGACGTGTACGCGTGTCGTGAATACATTAGAAGTTCCTTCCTTTATGTGTTTATGTAATAATCAAGGGGTGTCTTTAGTGTCGTTTGACTTTAACAAATGCTTATATGGAGTTCTCGTGAATATGAGAAATCATAATACCTGCAACAAACTAAAACTGATATAAAAAAGTTAATAGCCATCAGAGATAAATATTGCAGCTTCAAATATTTTAAATTGAGTTTTGCATTATTATGTATGTCAAGAGGTCAACCGATAAATCAAATTCGAATTAGCAGCCGTCGGAAAATTCCGACATATTAACATCTTTCTTAGTTTGCCTATATTACTTAGTTTTTTTATAGGATAAGGATGACAAGTGAGCACTCAGTCCACCTGATGGTAAGTGGTTTTTGTGACTCATAGACATCTACATCTATCCCCGTTTTCGAATCAAAATGCAGATGCATTGTCAGCCGTGAGGACTAAGATGGAATGCCTCTTTTCCAGTAAAAAGGTTCTCTACACTCACCATACGAAACACAGCAGCATTAAGCTGCTATTTTACACTGGTATTTGCAGAGAGCGTGATCCTTCCCCGGTCCACCACCACGCTGTGCTACAGCTATACAATTAATATAGCTGCAGCATGGCTCTACCACGTATAAAATATATATTTTTGTCCGATGTATACTTCATAGTCTTTTGAAAATCGTATAAAAAGAAGGAATACTGCTTAAGGGGCGTTTATGAGAAGATTTCTTAAAGTGACTCCACAGTAAAAAGAGGAATTTGATCCCAGGATCTCGAAATTCCAGACCCAATTTTCAGTCCCAAAAATTTCGGGATTAAGTTTCACGAAACCAGATTGACATTGAAAAATACAAAAAACAGGTAGACAATTCTCATGAAAAGAAAACGTAAGTACTCATTTCACCTGCCACTATGTCTGCCACCTTGTTTTGACAGCAGATTTTAGAAGAGTTCGTGCTGCCAAACAGAAATTATATCAAAAGATATTTTGATGTTTTTTTTTTTATTTCAAATTTATTGGTGATTAGTATGTCCGTATGTTTCTAAATTACTTAAGCACAATATCGATTAAGTTTAAAGGTTTCTGCACAAGTTCTCGAGTCCGCTCAAATCGACAAAGAGGGAAACCTCTTAAATGTTTGCGTAATCGACACGAAGACCCTTCCGAAAATTGATTCAAGTTTGATTTTCAATTCAATAAGTCTGGATACAATTGTTGTGCAGCCGTCGGAAGACAAAAATTCTATGTAGCAATTTTATTTCTATTTTATTTACTTCTTTAGAATGCAAAACATAATAAAATCAAATACGAAAAATGTTATGATTTATTGTATTCCAAATCAAGTGCTTCAGCATTAATACAATATATATGCAACGGCTAATATTAATGTAAATTACTTACCGCTAAGATTTATTTATTAATAAGATAAGACTTAGCGGTTAGCCACCGTAGAGTCTATATCACCTGAGGATGCCTCGTGTAGAGGCGAAACACGTGTCGTATTATCGTCAGTGGTGTGTCTTGCCTAGTGTAGTGGTGTTGGAAGTAGCGGTGCTGGGATTAGTGGTGACGGAGATAGTGCACGCAATTGAGGGAGGGCGGGAGGTGCTTCTTCATACTAGGTAAGACACATCATTTTATTTTATAACGCGGATATTTGCGAAGTAAAAAAAAAAATTTTGTAAAAGCTTTTTTTTTGTAAATTACTTAGTTGGCTAATATTATCTTTTTACTAAGCCTATTTTCATATAACACACAGAAATATACATAAGAGGACTAAATGCCTGAGGCGTTCTCAAACAGTTCGTCAGCGAACGAACAGTTTGAGAACGCCTCAGTTCACCTGATAATGACTACTGTCAGCTATTGACACCAGCAAATTATAATATACGTGAGAAAGCCTCGCTGCAGCTGATTAAAGGTGCATAGCTTAAAGGCATTAGCATAGCTTGTGTCAGATGAAAGTGACTTGTGTCAGATGAGAGTGACTTGTGTCAGAGCCGCATAGGCTGACGGGACCAACATCACAGAATATAGACGGTACGATGAGGAAGGACGACATTGTCACAGATTCTACTACCAGCACAAAGTTTCAGCATAATGATATTGCCTTTTTTCTCATTATTACTTTACTTTTGCTGCACTACCTGCCATATGTTTATCTCTGCTTAGCCTAATGGTTTATGTCTTAGTCATATGTACGATTTTATTTATTGTGCATAAAAGTTTAAATAAATAAATAAATACTATGTTTCCTATTGTGTATGATGAGAACCCGAGAACAATTTAATGAGAAACAAGATATTTCGTTTCTCAGTAGTGACAACGCATCTGAATTTCTTACATTTTTACTAAGTACTAGAACTTGAACATGGGTTTTATTTTCTCATATATCGTCTAACTGCTGTATATGTACAAGTTCAAATTTTTCGTTATGATTAATAATACGTTAAATAGGTTATCAAGGCTATTACAACTCGAACAGCCAAGTGTTAGTTTAATTAATATAAAAGGGAAATAATCTAAACGCCCTCGTTTTAAAGCCAATGACTCACACCAGGGTGACCAACAGTAATAACACCCACCCCACTTTATTAAAAAGGATGTGATGAGGGTACGAACATCTGCCCAAATGTCATGCATTCGTTGCGAATTGGCAAACACTAGATACCTCAAGTTAGTTTTGTATTCAGCCTGCGAAACACCAGTGGAAAAAGGCCTTCGATAAAATGGAAGTGTACGACTCAGTTACGCAGAGACCAACCTTACGGCTGTGGCACTGCGGTTTGTATGGCCTACAAATTTTTTTTTTCCGGACATAGATCTAGATATTAGTACCAGTAAGACACGCGTGTAACACGCGTTCACTGGTTTATGTAAGTAAAACGCTTCTAAGATACAAGAGAACATCCTAGTGTAGGGTAACGCTTTCTTACGTGGTAGAGCCACGTTGCAGCTATATTAAGTGATACAGTTGTAGCACGAATTGGTCGACTCCACCTGGAAAGGACCACGCTCTCACAGAATACCAGCGTAAAATAGCAGCAAACACGCTACTGTGTTTCGTATGGTGAGTGTAGAGAACCGGAGACCCATTTTACTGGAAACGATGCATTTCATCTTAGTCATCAAGGGCGACAACACATC